AATATAGGTCTTTGGAATTGGTCATAAGATCCCCCTGCGTCAGAGGATTGTTAGAAAAGAAATAAGATTTTTTTTAAAAAAAAAAAGTTTGGGGGGGATTACGTATATATTTGGATCGAAATAGTTGATCCGAGTTGTAAATCTTTTGACTGATTACTAATGACGCAGAATAGTAATATGGTAGTACATCTAGTACATCTATGATCCTAATCGACTAGACATTCTAGGATGATATTCGTATTGTTGACGCAATACCATCACGAACCATATATAATATTTTTTGCACATGGCAAAATAATGTGGAGAGTAATTGAATAAGAGAAAATATTTCTCAAGCCGCATAGATAAACCATGTGAAAATAATGTGAATTTCGTTATTATCTCTATTATAGATTTATAGCAAACATCAATGGTCACGGGCTTACAATTTCTGATTGCTAAAAGATGTCAACCGGAAAATTCCAGCCGAATGAGATTTTTTTTATTGCACGAATGATTGATTAAATTAGATTATTACTAGTCGATTTTTTGATTGCTAATAATGATATCGCGATAATACACCTTTACTCAAGGTAAAAATTGATATGATTATTTACTACTTTTTTGTATGAAAGATTCTGTACAAGATTGCCCTTTTCCAAAAGACAGTAACATACATGAGAAACTTGATCTATTAAAATTCAGTGATTAAATAACAACATCCACCGAGCCGATCATCATCCTCACTTTTTTAAGATGCCCAGGTTGTTCAGATTCCATTCCAGTACCTAAAGTACCACGTGGAAGGAATGGTGAATTCAACATGTACCACCGGTCATCCCTTCACATCATAGTCTCGCTCTCTCAAGGATAATGTCTTTGAAAGGTTCCAGGCGAAGCTTGATATCTTTCATAATCTTTGTCGTAGGTTCCCAGTCCTTGTATTGTTTTCTCAATATATTGATCTCATGCACAAGGCGCCGGCTTCTGGTAACATTTTTGTCTTCTAATATCCCACGCATCGCCCATGGTA